TTTATTTTACAATTATTTTGTACATTAATCGAAATAAAAATATATACAATTTATAAAAATAAAAAATAATTTAGATTTAATTAGTAAATCTACCATTTATTTAGGGTGTAAATGATGTGCACCATCGTTCAATTTCTCGCCTTCGGAGTCTACGGCGTGAAAGTAAGGATTTTTATCACCTTTCAAATTTTTATTGTGATGATCATGCAACTTTTGGCCGCTCAGTTGTTTCTGTTTACTAGGATCGTTGTGATTGAGCACACGGTGTTGTTGACTTTTGCTGGCTTTCTCGGCCGCCTCCCGGGCCGCCTTACGTGTGCTATAACGGGGCGTATGAATCATTGGCCGACTACTCGGGCCGATCTTAACGTGAACACCTTGTTTGGTTTTCATTGCTAATTAGGGTTAAACACAAAATGTAATTAATTATAATGGCATCAGTAAATACAACATAACACGATAAAAGAATTGTGTAGATAACAACGTATACTAACTTGTATGGGGCACAAATTGGCCTTTACCACGTTTGTCATCGTCACTACCGCTACCACCACCACCAGTGCTCGAGCTCTGCCCGCTAGCACTATTGGACATTCCCTGTCCACCTCTACCAGTAGCAACACTATTGGCACATCTAGTCTGATCAGGTGCAGGTGGGTTAACATTTTTTATACGGGGCACCAGACACACGCCCCCATAGGTGCGACACTGACTGGACTGGGAATAAGCGGCCGGTATCCAATCATTTGCACCGTTTTCAGCAAAATCATCGCCATCGCTTTGCTCATCACTAAACACCATGCCCATATTTCTACACCCCTGTCCAAATCTGGCTAACTTTGCCACCAGCCGGAGCTCCATATGTCGCTGTAAATGATGGACCAGTTTCTGCTCCTCACCGTATCTGATCCAATGGGCGGTCAACGGCCGGAGCCATTGGGGCCGCTCGAGCTCTAGTGCTTCATCTAGGGCTCGGGCCACCTGATCGAGCACCTGGTCCTCCAGACCGGCCAAATTGGCCCCAATGTCTCGTTTGACGCGCATCACCTCGCTCATACTCACTTCGTACTCGTTGTGTACGCCGTTTTCCCGCAGGGTTTGCGTAAATAACTCGTTCACTTTCTGCTCAGTGTTTATGGGGTACTGTATTTGGTCTCTGAGTCGGCGCAGTATCGCTCTGATCTTCTCCGGGTCTACCCTGACGTCCCGTTTGCCGGCCTCAAGACTCTCGTAAACTGAGCGCACAATAGTGGCCACCGCTTGGAGTTTGAGTAATTCCCGTAAACGGGGAAACAGCGGGAAATACTCGCCGATTTCGTCGTAACATTCGGTGAATAATTTGGCAAATC